ACTTACCGGCTACCTCTCGGAAGATCGAGCCTGTACTCATCAGGCGATTCATGAATCAATGCCCCTAGCTAGGTACCCTGAAAACACACGCCCTGCTTATACCCCAGGCACAAGCAGAACCAACCCACTACCCTCCTGTTACGGGGTCTAGATCCCCATCCAAACTAGGACTCCAAGCCCCCGCCCTTGAGTCCTGGACTCAGTGCGGTGCAAGGACCTCCAATACCCAAAGACCACCCTGACAGTCGGTCCAAAAAGAGCCGGAACCCATGACAAGAGAGTAACAAGTCTTCCAAGCGCCCATACCCAAGTATGTGCTTGGGATAATAAGTCTGTGACTTGCCTAGCGTCCAATGCAATGGCCGGTACTTAACCGACACAGACAGGGAAAATAGTGTAACCAAGCCATTTCCCGTTGGCCGCAGGACACAACCTCTTATACCCACCAATACCGAAACCATATCACTGTCCGGTCACCATTTTTCCTTTTCACCATTTATTTTTTCCAAGTGATAACAATACAGTAATATATTTCCTATCTCTCGCGAGTGACAGGCAATCACTCGACTTCTTCCGGAGTCCTGTAGCATAGCAATCTACACGATCCTGTCATACTAGTAAGACTCATAGGATAAAGATATATATACAAGTGGGTTTCATTCAACTCCTTAAACTTAATGCACAAATATAAATTTAAGTGCATAAAAGTAGGGGTTATGCACCGGGGCTTGTCTGGGTAAGATTTAATCAGAAGTTAGATTTCCATCATGGCGACACGATCTCCAAAAGCACCATTTCTCCAGCAACTCCCGCTGACTCCACGATCCATCGACGTTCCTATTATGATATGCAATGCAATGCGATGCGATGCAATGCAAAGACGTAATTAATCGACTGCAACCGTGACTTATAAAATACGATTTACGCCTTTCAAGTTAACGAGCTAGTTCTAACGATGACCGTACTTAGGTTACATATCTATATTGTCGAATAAGGCATTATTTCCCAACAAATATTTTAGTTATACAAATCCAAGTTGTTTCTTTATTCCATTCTATTAATTTAATCTTTATTTAAAATAGGGCATCATTATCTACCCTAGTAAACTAATTATTATTATGCTACAAAAATTACAGTGAGTACCTAATATTGCTAGAAACCTACTGTAAAAATTTCAGATCCAACACTATTACCAATTTATCACAACAATTCCTACAAGTTTATATTTTTACAATATTAAGTATCTCAAATTAAATATATAGCTTCCAATAATATTATTAAACTATGTGAACAAAATATACTAGCAGATAGATCATGATTTTAGGAACTTAACAAAATTGGTTTGGTATTTTTATGATTTTTCTATGATTTACTATGAATTTTACAAGTTTATTCCCGAAACCAAATTAGCAATCGCTTTAGAAAACTGAAGGGCCAGCGGCCACCAAATCGGCCCAGTGGACCACGGTAATGGCGCGGGCAGCCCGGTGCATAGCGCACACGGGGCCCAACGCAGCCAGCACCAGTCCGGCCTAGGCGGGTGGGGCGCACGCGCGACCCAGCAAACCGGCCCACGCGTCAGGGCAAGGCGGCGGCGATGCCACTTTGCGAAAAGGCCCCTAACTTTTACCTAATCCTCCCGTCGAACATCAACACTATTCAAGTGAGTCACAGAAAATACGTTGAGCACCCTGAACTAACTTTCTACTTCGATTCTTACCCTTTCTGTTCATCCTCAAAAGTAGAGCACAGACATGGAAGCACCGGCCGGCGGCGAGAACAGCGCATCTAGGCGTGGCGGCTGCGCAACGGCAGTGCGCGTCCACGGGGAGGAGTGCGTGGCCGGGCGGTGGCGGCCATGGCGCTTCAGGGTGGCTACAGGGCACGACGGCCAACGAGGCAAGCTCCACAACACCGAGTAGACACGGCGCACGGCGGCCTGATGCGGACGACGGCGAGGAAGGCAGCAGCCTATAGTGCGAGGGCGGTAGTGGCGTGGCCATGGGGGGAATGGGGACGCGGCACGGCGACCTCGGGGCACAGCAGCGCTAGCCGGGAGGCTCTAGGCGACGCGGGCACGGCGCGGCGGCGCGTGGCCACAACGAGCGTTGCAGTTGGGAGGCGCGGCAACTGCGGGCATGGCGCACGGGAGGAGCAGTGGTCCAGAGCGGACCGAGGACTCACACACGGAGAAGGGCCGGCACCGGCGGATTGGTGTGACGGCCACGGCGGTGGCCGAGCACGGAGGTGGAGCGGCGTGGGTCCACGGAGTGGAGGGCAAGCAGTGGATGGGGCTATGGTCCAACGCGGGGGTCGAGGGGCGAGGGCGCGCTCGCGCGCGGTGGCCGGGCGATGGCAGACTGGAGCTAGTGCGTCTCCTCCTCGACAGCAGAGAAATAGAGGGAGGGGAAAGCAGCACGAGGCTCGGCAGAGTTAGACAGAAACAAGCAAAGCAGACAGAGACAAGGCAGAGGCAACAGAGGCAGCGACCGAGAGAGCGAGAGAGAGCAGAGACGAGGATAGCAGCTCGGTCACGGCGTGCACAAGAAGCAGTGCAAGAAGAGGGAGCAACGGCATCACGACAAGGTCATTAGTTTGACGGGACAACTGAGGCAGTGGCTCTGTCATCTACTTCATAAACACGGCATGGGCAGGACAGCCTGGCACAACGTGGCCGGTAGGGTCAGGCCAGGCAGTGACGCATCCCATCGTCACTGCGTTCGGGGCCACGGTTACATGCAGCGCCATTGAAGCCGACGTGACGATGCTTGCCAGAGCAGGCAGCAGCGGCAGGACCAGCAGCGGTGCAGCAGGCCTCGGCCGGCCACAGCAGCAAGGCGACGAACGGAGCAGTGCAGTGCGTGGCCAGCGTAGTACGTAGCGGCGTCGGTAGCGCGACCGCAGAGGCGAGAATGGCAACGAGACCAGCGCACAGCAAGACCGCGACGAGGCTAGGCGTGCACACAGACGTCCATGAGTGCGTTGTGTACTTGCGTGTGTTTTACCAAAAAATATATAATTAATTATGTAATTACAAATATGTCATTATTTCTTTATCACTAATATCCCTACACACATGCATATATTATTGTATGTTTAAACGTATATTTATCTGTAGAGATACACTCGGAAAGAAATAAGTTTGTACACTACTTTAATTAATATAACAACATACTTATCAAAACGAAATACGTGAGTGTATATATACCTATATATATCTCTATCGGTTTACTACTTAGACACTAAGCAACACCTAAGCACAAGAAAAAATTCAACAAAGCTCGAATTTAATTTATATTCAAAAGCTATATATATAACGTTCTATTTAATAATGTATTTTATTTCATTCTATTTTTGAGTTTTCTTCTACTCTAATCTTGCTCTAATTTATTATTAACAAGTTAATAATTATACGTTTAGTGCTAAAAGGCTCATGTAACACTAGAGGTGTTACATCTCTCACGTGGTTTCTTATCTCCCTAACAATGACGTGGCTACTCGTCGCCTCGAAGCGGCTGTTCGTCGCCCCGACGCGGCTAACTGTCTCACTCACTCACCGCCTGCTTTCCTCACTCACAGCCCCGCTCGCCTGCGCCCATCCTTGTTCTTGTCTCGCCGTTACACCCGCACGCCTTCCTATCTTGCCTCCAGGGCGGTAATGTGGATCTAAGTGCACACCCCTATGGTGAGGTGTTTCTCGCCTATGAAATCCTCCATGGTCGAGTGTCTCTCGACGACGAACTACACGTTGGAGGTGTGGCCTCGCTAGCGACAGGCTCCTCCATGGTGGCTGGGCTCTTCATAGGCAAGCACAACCAGATCTGCACTCTACAGTGGGTTATGTTGTAGTATGTGATATGTTGCAACAATCAATCTTGAATGTGTTACATGTTTTATGGCACTCAGCATAAAATTGGATTTTGCGATATTACAACAATCGATTTGAGATGTTGCAACAGTTGATTTGAGATATTGCAACAGTCGATTTGGGATGCTGCAACATGTTTTTCTGGATGCTGCAATAGTCAATTTAAGATGTTGCAATTGTCGATTTAAGATGTTGCAACATGTTTTTTTTATTTTACAGCATGTTTTTTTTAATGTTGCAACATGTTTTTTTTAATGTTGCAACATGTTTTTTTATGTTGCAACTGTCGATTTAAGATGTTATAACATGTTTTTTTTAATGTTACATGAGGTTTCAGTACGTTGCAAACCTTTGTTCTTGAATGTTGCAAGCAATGATTAACATATGATCAATTTATCTCTCTTTCCATTTCTCCCTCGCGTACGGCAAGGTGTGGTGTCTGCAAGCGCTATAGGAAGCGCAACCACCGTTACCGTGGTTTACTATTGCATCACAGGAGAAAGGAGGGAGCCGGAAGGAGATGAGTGCTGGGGATGGACGGGCAGAGGGAAAGGCTCTGGATGCGAAAGGGAATGAGCGCAACGGAAACCTCTGGATCCGAAAGGAAAGGAGCGCCGGGGTGGAACGGGTAGAGCGGAAGCATCCGGATCAATTTTATATCCAGACGTCCGGCCTAGTATTTCCCATAAATCATAGATTATTTTATACATCGATCTCCTCGAAAATAAAAAAATAGAAATTACAACTACAAATGTTTGCCAATCCGTATTTTATAGTATCACATCAATCTCTCGGAAAAAAGGGAAATTACAACTGCAAATGTTTAGCAAACATGGCCTCCAAAGAAGGTTGGGTCAAGTGGCCCTTTTTAAAAAAAAAAGATTACCAAACCGTCGCAGAAGAAAAAAATGGAAACAGAAAAAACTAAAAACACTAGTACGCACAAACGACGTGCGTAACAATAGCCAAGCAATGACAAGCTCTGTGACGACGACATGATGCATGGAATCATGGATCACGCATGCGTCAACGTGCGTGTGCACGATGGTGCACAAAATCGCGCGGGGCCCCCGCGCGTGCAAACCAAGGCTAGCTCCCACGCGCATACGTGCCAGCCGGCCTGGCCGGCCGCCTAGTCGAGGCCGAACGCCTTCCTCATGCCGCACACGAACTGGAACACGTGCTCGGCCTCCGGCAGCGACTCGGCCACGCACGTGTTCTCCCGGACGCAGCGGTCCGCCCACGCCGCCAGGGCGGGGCACTCGGCGGCGACGGTGAAGCCGCCGAACCGCTCGTAGGTCAGGAACCACGGCACGAAGGGCACCAGCGCGACGTCCACGTAGCCGAGCGCGTCCCCGCCGAAGTAGGGCTTCCCGCCCAGCTCTGCCTCCAGCGTCTTCAGCGCCGCCACCGTGTCCTTCCTCGCCGCCTCCACCGCCGCCGTCGCGCCCTTGGGCGACCGCCACACGCGCATCCCGGCCTCATTCAGCTGCATGCACGGATCGTATGTACGTAGCTAGCGTGTCATTATTAATCAATTAAAGCTAGATTATTAGAAGCCTAGCTATCGATGGATGGACGCGCGACGACCTTGGTGTCGACGTAGGAGGCCCAGAACCGGGCGTGGGCGCGTGCGTAGGGGTCAGCGGGGAGGAGCGGCGGCGCGCCGGCGGCGGAGAAGCCGTCGTCGATGAACTCGAGGATGACGAGGGACTCGCACACGGGCTTGCCGTCCACGATGAGGACGGGGACCTTGGCGTGGACGGGGTTGGAGGACAGCAGCAGCGGGCTCTTGGCCGCCAGGTTCTCGGCCTTCTCCTCGTACGCCACGCCCTTGAACTTCAGCGCGATGCGCACGCGGTTGCCGAAGGGGCTCACGAAGCAGTTGAGCAGCAGCACAACTCCCTCCATTGCCTCCGATCCGATCCCTTGGAAGCTTGCAACCTTATCAGCAGACGATGTGCCGGCCGGCAACGCTCGATCGCTGGCTTATGACTGGAGAGCTTGCATTTTGCCAATGGCTTCGTCGATTCCATGTCTATTTATACCGGATGATGGCTTTGCTAGATGTTGCTAGCCACGAGGCGTTTCTTTGGACGCGCCGGGGGTGCTGCCATTTTTCTTGGGGATGGAAATCAACGGCATATGCCGATATGTCATCGACCGCACCAATGATAATGCATCGATCGATGCATGTCTTCGATTATTTCGTTGCTGATAATTTGTTCGTTTCTGCTTCTGAAACCGCCGGTGCTTCGTCCTGTCTGCTGTCTTACTCGATATGCGCGCATGCATGTCCAGCTCGTTATTTGCTTCATTTTTTATTTTTGCTATTTATCTGTTGATAATTTTTTTAATTAAATCTGTCTTATTTCTATATGTTTGATTGTGCTTTAGGATTTGTGCTATAATTATCTATTAGATCGTATTTATAAAAAATCTGGCAGATTTGACCCTATAAAATCTGTAGACATTTTTTTATGAAGTTATATGCTTGTTTGCATGCCGGTAAAAAAAAGTCACGGCAGCTTCTCATGCGGCTCCCGGGCTCCCGGGAGCGGCGCTGCGAATAGAGTTCGAGACGTCGTCGTTACCGTCCGTCCATGGCTCCATGCATCTTCGTTGTGGACGTACGCGCCGGATGTTCCAAGGCCCGCCGGGTGCCAGTTTGATGGAGGTAATAAAGCACTAAAGCTTAATAATCAAATTAAAATAGAAAGCCTGCAAAGCTGGGATAGTCTTGCTATGATTCTTGTCAATGTCATATAATATTATATCGTGTTGTGAATTCCAAGGTTAATTGAATATAGTAATTTGATTACCTCATCGATGAGGTCAGGATAAGGAGCAAGTACATGGGAGTAGTAGTTTTCTACGTCTTGGTGTATATTCCGAGTAAAGTAGTGATTGCAAAAAAAAATCCTGAATATTCGGTTACAACACTCACTTTTTTTTTAAATTACATAATACAACATAGACACTCACAACACGCACGTACACTCACTCCTACGAACACATATACGCAAACCCTATTCATATGAACACCTCTGAAGGACAGAGCCGACAGATTACGAGATTCACGAAGTCACCACAGGCGTCTCGCTGTCGACGAGGACGTCGTCTACCACTGAAAGCATAGCGCCGTTAAATCCTGAAATAAATCCATAAAAATACGAGTACTCGTGCTAAGTTGAGGACTTAAACCCGGATGCCCCGGTTCCATCACAAGGAACATAACCAGCCGATCTATGATAAGTTCGTAGTACACTCACTTTTGAAGTTTAAACGCTGGGAAATCGCAAAAAAAAAAAGAAGTTTAAACGCTGGGATGGAATTCTTGGATAAAAGGTTGGGTTTTTTTAAGTTTCGGTTGTTGGGAGCATCTGACCGAGTGGACTTTTAAGGAAAAAGTCTACATTACCTCCCTCAATTTTCGTGAAAGTTCGTTTTTTCTCCCAGAACTTCAAAATCGGGCAATACACCTCCCTCAACTTTTAAAACCGTTCATCTTACCTCCATGTCCCTGTTATAAGTAGTTTTGAAGGCGATTTTGTCTTTTTCTTTTTTATTTATTTTGGCTAAATCTTTGAAAAAGCATAGTAAATTATAGAAAAATCATAAAATAGAAAATCTAATTTTTTTGACTCCACATGATTAGATCTATACAGTGAACATATAATATGGTATTCTTTAATACAAAGTTTTTGCTGTATCTTTATATCTATGCTTTTCGGTAATTAAATTGAATAATTCATAGCTGTAGTTTTTATGGTCCAATTGTGGTGAAATTTTTATGATGGACTAATTATTGTATGCTTAAACTGTAGTAAAAATTTCATACTCATTGGATCAATTATAACTTAGTTATAGATTTTATTTAGGTTTATGCTTATTAACTATAAATAAATCTATAACTAAGCTATACATGATCCAATGAGTATGAAATTTTAACTATAGTTTAACCATACAGCAATTAGCTCATCATAAAAATTTTATCACAATTGGAACATAGAAACTGCAGCTATGAATTATTCCAATTAATTACAGAAAAGCAGAGATCTAAAGCAACAACAAAAACTTTGTACTAAAACGTATCATATTATATGTTCACTGTGTAGATCTACTCATGTGGAGTCCAACAAAGTTGGATTTTCCATTTTATGATTTTATGTGATTTACTATAATTTTTTAAAGATTCACCCGAAATAAATAAAAAAGAAAAAGACAAAACCGCCTTTAAAACTGCTTATAACAGGGCCAGGGAGGTAAGATGAACGGTTTTAAAAGTTGAAGGAGGTGTTTTGTCCGGTTTTGGAGTTCAGAGGGGAAAAGCGAACTTTCGTGAAAATTGAGAGAGGTAATATGGACTTTTTTCCAGACTTTTAAGTCTACCGACAATCTCACGAATATGGGCCGAATGGCCCAACAGCAGGGAAGCCTGCTAATGTGAATCGAACCGGATATGGGAGTACGTGGCAGGTCTGATCCTCTCGTAGTAGAGCTAATATTACACATGGGCTACAACAACGACTAATATATAACTTAAGCTAAAGTTTTAAATAAACATATATTAAAGACACAAACATGTGCCATAAAAATTAGTGAAACTATCAATACGATAAAAAAATACATAGAGTAATTGGTAATATATTATAAATAGATAGATATCACAGAGTATCTATATAAGTATTTATTAGCAAATAAATAGAGAGAGAGAGAGAGCATGCAAGGATAAACAATTTGGTTTAGTTGTTTATACTAAATTTATCATGAACTTCTAATATTTATATCTTATAAGATTATACACTTTATAGGAGTAAGGGTTAATGGACTAGTTACTCTTCTAATAATTAGTAACAAAAAACTAGATCATAATAAGTAGTAACACTAGAAATGGAACTCCACTGCAGTAGAAGATTCACTAGTTTGTTTTTCTCTGTGCTGATTTACTTGGCATGGTTTGGGTGGTGGTTAATATTGTTTGTTTTTGTTATGAAAGTCTACTTAATCCCTTTAACTTCTCGTACTTGTCTACTTTACTCTTCACCTACAAAAACAAAACATTCTACTTCTTAAAGTATTTAAAACGGTCTAAATAACTCCTTGGGTGGTTTTGAAGGTGGATTTGCTGACGTGTCATATTATGTGGGCGCTGACATGATGATGAGTCAGCAAATACTAGAAAAAATTACATAACCCCAACATATCAAGGTTGACTACAACCTCTCAACTATAAAATCATATATTATAGTCCTTGAAACATCCAATAGTGTTTATATGGCTCTAGGATGGTTTTGCAGTGCTGCTTTGACATAGTGTCACATCACATTGACCTGAGTACTCATGCTTACACTTTCATCTCACTACTCCGCTGCCCCACCGTCCGACGAGCAGCAAACGACCTTCTATCTCCTGCAGTCCTACTCCACCTCGGGGACTTCACGTCATTAAGCTCATGCACACCCACGTTATTTGGCCCCTCCCAGATCCTCTTTCCTCTCGTGCCCTCCTCGTATGGCAACCTCAAAAATAAAAAAAGAAATGGAATTCCTGCATCAGGCTCAATGTCTCCATCTCAGTCGCCGTTGAGTCTCCTGCGGCCGGGCGTCGGGCTCCTGTGCGCGTGACCGAGCGTCAGGGGAGGCCGAGAAAATTTGGGTAGCCAGTGTTGACCCAACAGGAATGGGTAGTCGAGAGGGGAATATAGGTAGGCAACAAATCTGGTGGGTGCGATAGGTAGTCTGCAGGAGTGGATTTTTGGTTCTACACTACCCAAATTAGGAATATATAGTCCATTTAGGTAGTCTGCTGGAGTTGCTCTTAGAGTTATGACTATTAAGCTAAAGTTTTAAATAAACATATATTAAAGACACAAGCATGTGCGATAAAAGTTAGTGAAACTATTAATACATACAGATAAAAAAACACAGAGTAAAAGTTAGTGAAACTATCAATACATACAGATAAAAAAAATACATAGAGCAATTGGTAAATCTATTATAACCAGATAGATATCACAGAGTATCTATATAACACCACTGCAGACGTCCTCTTTGCCGAGTGCTGGGGGCACTCGGCAAAGCCAGCCAAGCACTCGGTAAAGGCTTTGCCGAGTGCCGCACTCGGCAAAGGTCTCTCGGCAAAGATTTTATCGGCAAAAATTTCTTTGCCGAGTGCCAAAAATCGACACTCGGCAAAGTCTTTGCCGAAGTGCCAAGCCCGCACTCGACAAAAAATAACCGCCGTCAACATTTGGCGCTTGGCTTTTTGCCGAAAGTGCCTAGGGACCGGCACTCGGCAAAATTTGAATTTTGCCGAGAGCGAGCTCAAGACTCGGCAAAGAAACCATTTTTTTAAAAAAAATTTTTTAAAATAGTCTTTGCCGAGTGGTACCACCGGCACTCGGCAAAATTGACCTCTTTTGCCGAAAGTGCCAGTGTGGCACTCGGCAAAACTGGGAAGTGGCTGTTTTTGCAGCATTTTTCCCAGCTTTGCCGAAAGTGCCACACCCCCGCACTCGCAAAGCTGGGAAATTTGCTATTTTTTGTTTGTTGCTTTCCTTCAAAGCAAACACGCAAAACTCATATATAATACATGAGACAAGATCTGTGCATTTAGCATCACACAAAACGCATACATAATTCATCACATACATCCATAATACATCACAAGCACATCCAACATCCATCACAAGCATATCCTCCTGCATAATCCATCACACGCACATCCAATGTGCAAATCCATGACAACATCTAAGAAGTCTTCATCCAACACAAGTCCTAGATCAAGAAAAGTCAATGAAACATGAAGGAGCACCACCCATCGCCACTTGATCCCAATGGGAGCTGAAGGGCACCTCCGTGCATGGTGGTGGACTTGTCCACTTGGGGGTGTGTGTGCTGAGATGAAGG